TATATATATATATATATGTATATATATATATATTAAAATTCCTCATCATCACAGCATTATCATAGTCAAAATAAAACATCAACAAATTTCCTCAAGATGTTTTCTATCAAAAAAATTTGATAGCACTTGATTCATGACAATATCATATTCGCTCTTCCCACATATGTCAAGCCTGGTCACTGGGTGTTATGAGTCAGTGAAGGAAAGTTTTTATGTCTTGTATACAGAGAGCCCTGCACATTATTCAGAAAATGTCCTCGCATTAAGATAACTTCTCTATAAATATTTTAAAATGTTTGAACAACAATTTATGCCATTCTTGGTTCAATTCGAGATGATATAGAGAAGGAAGAAATCGTTTTCCTAAAAGGCATAAGTGGGAAGGAAAAATTGGCAATGTCTTTAGCCAAAAAATACTATGAAAAAAATCTGAAACACTACTGGGTAATAGTAACAAAAAACATGTATTTTCGTCATATACAATGTTTAAAAATTGATTAAAAACTATGTACATGTGTAATGTCCCTTAATACAAGGCATCCATCTCAGCTTCATGTATCAGTCTGTGTATTTTTAATTTAAGTTCGGCCCTCACTCTATCTGGCAGCTGCCTTATTGTCTCCCCCATGACATGAAAAGGTGTGGATGTCATCTTCAGTGGTAAAAGGAGCCCTTTTCTGCTCTAAATATTCTAATATGGATTTGTCAAAGTCAAAACTGGCATCACTCTTTCTTTTCTTCTTTAATGGAGTCGATGTTGATACTGCTGCATTGGCATTGTCATCTCTTCATCTTTGTTTTTTTTTTGTTGCATCAGCTGTGGTGGTTGTTGTTGCTGCTCATGGGGCTGTTGCGATTGGTGGTAATCATCATCATTATAATCAAAGCGAAAGCTTTCTTCTGTTATGTTGTCTACAATGCTGTCGTAAGTTTCCTCGTCACTTATTTCAGTGTTGGCTAGTTCTACATCGAGGGTACTTGAAGTCCTATGATGGAAACAACGAATAAAATGGATATACATTAATTCTAATATTTTGTCCATTTGCTGTAACATATCCAATTCTTGTTATATTTTTCTATTGAGACATGTGTGATGCAATTCTTGATGTTTACTTCTTGTTATTGTTAATGCCATTGTTAAGCATGCAATGAGTTTGGCATATGTAATACATACTGTATTTTCTTTTTTTTCTGGAAATAACTTAATAAATAATTTACCCTTTTTGATAATGTGTGTTACCTTGCATTAGGCCTATTAAAATGAACAGTGTATATTTGTGGTATAGTTCAAATGTATTTTACTCTTTACATGCAAAGCACTTTGAATGTACCAATTGGAAATGTACATTTAAAATTTGGATTGATTGATTGGTTGATTGATAGATTGATATATTAATGGATGGATTGATTGGTTTCAAATTAGCTTGAACTTACTCCTTATGTTGTAAGTACGGCGTAAGAAATGTCAAAATTCCTGCAAATCTATATTGTTTTATTACTTTGGCAGCATCGCAACTCCTTGAGGAAGCCGTCTTTCTGCAGCTGTTGAAAGTATCCCATACGTTTGCCCATTTTTCGGGCTAAGTCTCCTGCAATCATTAATTATCAATTCAGATTATTTCACAACTACTTCAAATTACAAACAACTCTGCAAGTGGCAAAAGTGTACAGAAGGCAAACCTGCCTAACATAACCCTCTATTCATATTTCGATTAATAGAGTAATTGATGAATAAAAACTGAATTGAATGCATTGCTGTATTGACATTAAAATATTTAAAATGGTGGCCGGAGCATATTATTATTATTCAAGAGACAGTATATATACAGATGTTTCTAGGCCTAGCCTAGGTGGTGTAGGATCGTTTCGGCCCCGGGTCGACTAGGCCTAGGCTAGGCTAGGCTAGTCACTGAAGCTACAGCCTAAGCTAGGCCTACTACTAGTCTAATCGTTTTTATAGACAAGAATCACACTCACCACTCATTCCAACTCTGCGGCAAATTTCTTGCCAAACGTCTCTTTTTTGGTTAACACTTTTACAATCAGCATTTGATTTATTATACAAGATAGTGTCTGAACTTCCATCAGGCGCTCAGTTTGATCGTCCACGCGTCGCGAGTTCGGTCAACCGGTAGTGTGTGTGAAAGTTGACTACAGTACTTTCATCTTCCCTGACTACCCTCATCTGATTGGCTGATACGTTTATCGTTGCCGATAACTATAAAAAAAATCGCTTCAAAAGTGATTCGACCGATACGATAACTTTATCGCTCACGATAATCGTATCGTTATCGTTATAGTGTGACCACTTCCATTAATTTACACCACACCGATAATTTTTATCATATCGGTATCGTTATCGGTGTAGGTGTGACCTGGCCTTAATACTTTCTGCACTGACCCAAGGAAATTTTATGTATGGTGTGCTCATTGTACAGTGGTCTTAGTAAAACACACAAAAAAGAATAAATTGCAGATTTTTAAAATTAAAATTATTCAGTTTATTATAGATATTTCGTCAAGAATCCATATTGGTGTTAGTAAATAAGGAGGCTGATACGCGTCTAATGGAAGTTAGAGTCGAATAGCTTAAATCAAATACTTGAATATAAATAATGGCACAGCTCAAGTGCTCAAGCATATTTATTTGACCAAGTCCAGAGTACTAATAATCAACATAGTTATGGTACTAAAGTCAGAAACTCAATGGTTTTTCCTAGGGTAAAAAGTTTTGTTAAGCTTTCTTTTTTATATGCAGCAATTAATAATTGGAATAGTCAGCCAATCAATATAGAACAAGTTAATCAACCCAACATTCTCACATAAAAAGCATCTTAAGATGTATATATGGAACCGGTTAGATATGAACTAGACGGAGACATGGGCCTATAAGTCTATTATTACAAAGGTTCACTGGATCTTTTCTACTGCAACGTTAAAGGTAGAAGTGGTTGTTGCAGCTGAATACAACATTATGGAATTCCCCCATGGGGCTTGAGTGTGTGTTACATATGTGCTTGATCCAGTGATCTGCGGGTAATAATGTCCAAGCGCCTGGGGTTGTGTCAACGTGAGGCGCTATATAAATCCAGAATTATTATTATTATTATTATTATTATTATTATTATTATTATTATTATTATTATTATTATTATACAATCCTAGTAAGTAAACAATGCTCAAAACTGGGAAAATCTGATCACAATAACATTATCATGATTCCAGTTTATAAACAGAAATTGAACGCTGCAAACAAGTTACTAAAGAATGTAGAATTTGGAGTACTGAAGCAATCAATCAGTTGCGCGGTTGCTAAGCCTCTACTGACTAGGATTCAATGAAATCTGATTGCCTTAATAAGCAAGTGGTAACAATTTCAAGTTACATTTCTTTCTGTGTGGACTCTATAATTCCAAAAGTGACTATGCAGGTTTTTCCAAATGAAAAACCATGGATCAGCCCAGATCTTAAAGAATTACTAGAAAATAAAAAGTCTACTCTTAAAAATAGAGATCGTACAAAATTTAAAGTGCTACAAAAAGAGATCGACAAAAAAATCAGGTTTATCAAGAACAAATTTAAAGACTCAATGGAAAGCAAGTTCAGAAACCTTCAACATCGAGCTGCCTGGCAAGCACTGGACACACTGGCTACAAAATTGGTTCATCAAAGGCTGACCCCTTACTAGGCCTAGCGGAATCATTAAACACCATTTTCGTCGTATTGATGAGCATTCCAATTAAGCCCCTTATCAAGATATTCACAATCAAATTCTTTCGGCATCTGGCTGTGATATCGTTATTGACGAAGATTCCGTAAGCAAGGTTTTCTCTAAAGTCAAAGCAGGTGAAAGTACCGGTCCGGACATGATGTGTAACAGAGTTATTAGATTTTGCCACTATAAACTGGCACCAGTTTTCACCACGCTTTTTAACCGCAGTCTTCTATATGGAAAAGTTCCAAGCAGTTGGTAACGTCTATTATTTGTCCGCTTTCAAAAAATACCAAGCCGCAAGCATCGAATGATTACCGCCCCATTGCAATAACTTCCGACGTCGTCAAATGTCTTGAACGAATAATCATGAATACTATAGTACGTGATACAAATACTCTTATGGACCCGTTAAAATTCGCTTACCAGAAACACAGAAGTGTGGAGGATGCTGTTCTGTCTACCTTCAAAACGCGTACAAACATCTTGATAAACCTAGAACTTACGTACGGTCTTTATTTTTTGACTTCTCAAGTGCCTTCAATACAATTTTACCTTAACTGCTTGCTAAAAATCTACTGTTAGACATGAACATTAATAACGTACTTGTCAAGTGGATAATAGATTTTCTGAAATCCAGGCCACAATGTGTTAGTATTGAAAATTGTAAATCGTCCATGAAAATTGCAAATGTAGGCATTCCTCGAGGATGTGTCGTTTCCCCAGTCCTATTTAATTTATTTGTAAGCAATTTTAGAATCAACACAAAGAATGTTGCATGTTTAAGTATGCGGATGAGTCTGTCATCACAGGTTTTATTTCTGGTGATAATGATGATAAAGAACAGGAAATATAGAAAACATATTTCTGACTTCGTAAAATGGTGTGAAGAAAACCATCTGAAGCTGAACTTAAGTAAGACTAAAGAAATAATTCAAGATTTTAGAATTAAGCATAACCCTTTAAAACCCGATTATTATAAATGATACCGACATCGAACAGGTAAATGAGTACAAATACTTAGGTTGCATTGTTGATAGCAAGTTAACATGCACCCTAATATTATTAGGCCTATTATTATTAGGCCTATTAGGCCTATTATTATTAGGCCTATTAGGCCTATTATTATTAGGCCTATTAGGCCTATTATTATTAGGCCTATTAGGCCTATTATTATTAGGCCTATTAGGCCTATTATTATTAGGCCTATTATTATTAGGCCTATTAGGCCTATTATTATTAGGCCTATTAGGCCTATTATTATTGGGCCTATTAGGCCTATTATTATTATAACCGTAATTTATTACCGTATTAGTTGTTATTATAAGCCTAATTGTAGAGGAAACATGAACTTGTTCCTCCTGTGGATCCCCATCCTCTGCATATGTTTACTATGTTACGTTGGAGTAGAGGAAATAAATATATTAATAGTAAAAAAACAAAAAAAAAAAAGTTAACATGCACCCCACATGTAGATAAAGTATATTCTAAAGCCAGCCAAAGGCTTTACTTTGTACGTAAAATGAAGATTTTAGGTGTTGATACCAAACTTATTCGTCTGTTCTTCGAATCAGTTGTTCGTAGCGTCATGACTTTTTGCATCATTTGTTTTTATCAAAACATGTTAAATAAAGACAAAGCTAAATATGATAAAATCTGTAAAAAAGCAAGTAAGATAATTGGAGTCGAACTTGTTGATTTTAAGTCATTGTATCAGAACCGAGTGCTAAATAAAGTTAGGCTTATAAAGGAAGACGAAACTCATATACCGTACTCGCGCGAATAAGCGCCCGGGTGCTTAAAATATTTTTTACACTTTCTGAGGGGCGCTTATTCAAACGGGGCGCTTATGAAAAACAGAGTAGAAATTGAGGAGCGCATATGGAAATAGATGAAAATCGAAGGGTTCCTATGGGAAATTATTAAATTTAAGAGGCACTTTTTGAATGAAAAAAGATTATATAAGGACATTATGAATGGTGGTTAGAAAAGATAATCGTCCAGAGAACATTGCTCATGACAAGAATGCGTGAAAATTTACATAACAGCAAAATAACGTAGCAGAGGCAAATAGTAGTGGTGAGTAGTGGTTAGCTTGTTAGCCATCGGCCGATTGAGATTAGCAGGATGGCAGGATCATTGTATTTTTTATTTGAAAACTCAGATGAGAATGTGCTAAAGGTGCAAATTGTCGGAAAAGAAAAAGAGCAGTAGGACTAGGCATAGACAAATAGGCCTATGTAAAAAGAGTAAAGTTCGAAATATACTGTCTGTCCAGGGATCGGAGCTCTCATCTGTCCAAGAGAAATATTCTCATTTTGATATTGACCTAAGAAGAATGTGTTTCCACTCTGCAGCTCAATTATGCCAACAACAGCAGTCCCAGGATTAATTGGATTATTGACTTGCTAAAAAGAAAATATTATGATATTATTGAGGGGCGCTTAAGGGAATTTTCACCTTAGGAGGGGCTTATTCGCGCGAGTACGGTACTGTTCCAGCTGTACTCACTAAACAGATCTGGTCTTAGGCTCAACACTTACCATAACAGCACAAGCCGTCTGCGTTATTATTTTATCCATGATAGTATTCATATTTTTAATTCTTGCGTTCATAGAAAATAACGATATAGTATTTTCGAATATGATGTTTTAAAATGATTATTATTATAACAATATGTTTTTAGATTTTCTTCTGGATTTTAAAGTTTTTTGTCTGCTTTTGCCAACTGAAGATGCTTTTCTTTTGTTATTTTTAATGAACATAATAAAGTTCATTCGTATTCGTATATTTATTTATTTTCTTGTGCTTTTTGGAATTAGTTACATTTAAGGACCACAATAGAAATAAGCATAGATCTTTTTTTGTCTTATCTTTTTTTGCTGTGAATCTGAATCACTGAATAAATTGAAAAGAAATTAAATAAAATTGAAAATAATAAAGAACACATATCACTAAATATCAACATAACTTGTTAAATTATATTTATACCGAGTACTTATCTGTTGGTGAAAGTTCCTTAGTAGTCTTCTGCCAAAACGGACCCCGATTTCCTTTTATAGACAACAACTTTTCAATTGTAATTGTCTGATTTATTAAAACACGAAATTCTTGCGTGTCTGTTCCATGAATAAAGTGCCACAATTCTAGACACTGTAGAGACGTCTCATCATTTACTGGAGACTGCAATCGAGCTACTTCTCTGATCAGTTTGGACCGCCTAAAATCAGCCAATACATAGAATCCTTCGAAGATCAAATAAACTACAAATTAATTTATATTGTGATTTGTTTTATCTCGATATGTCTATTTATATATTTATTACTTTCAAGAGAGATTTATTTCAGGGCAGACAAAACTTTTCTTCCTCATTTGTTCTGACCCTGCTCTTCCCCTTTTGTATGTTGAATATGCACATTTTCAGAAAAATAAGATATCATCATTATCCTTGCGCAACGCCATAGAGGCATTTAAACATTAAACATGAAACGCAAAATCTCTTCTTTGTTCGAATGTTACATTAAGATAATCAAAATTGTTTGTTACGATATAAGCCGCTCTTCTTTGGTGGTTCTTTATAACATTTTTATTTTGTTCATCATACAGTATGTCATGGCATAGTCACTACATGGTTGTATGGTACTTATAAACAGTCTTTCTAATAATGACTTGCTTAAACAATTTGTCATTTTACCCAACATCGTCATTTTAAATCCAAGATATTTACAAATCCTTTGTACATTCTGTTTCAAAGGTAACGCCAAATGTTTCCCATTTTCTATGCTCAACAAGTTACTATTTTCAGAGTCGAGACGACCATTTTGTATGAGCATAACCTTAATTTCATCTGTATTGAGAGACAGATGATTATCTTTATACCAACTACTAACATTCATTATAAATTTTAGAGTATCATCAGGAAAGCATTGGTCAATATTAATTGGGGACTGGGTGGAGGGCAGAGTAATTTCGGAGAGGCGTGCCCACCCCCCCCCCGCACCCCTAGATACGCCACTGATTGCAACAGGAGTATGTAACAGCAATGGTACTATGGTAGTCAGTATTGCATTTATTGTAGCATATTAGACATCAAAAAAAGAATGATGATGACATGGTTCACACCACTAATTCTATTTTAATTACTAAAAATATATACATTACAATGTGCTGTACCTAAACTATTTGATTTAGTGTGATCGATTTCGGGAACTCCGGCTACATCGTGCTTTGATCCAAGAGCACTATTCGTCCACGTCCAATTGAATACATTGCCTCTCGCGTTTGTATAGCCACACATATGTGGCTCTTCGAATTCGCAAGTCACACTGGCTACCAGTACATCTTCATTATCTTTCGAAATAAATTAAAAAGGTATTCTTAAAATATATTTCACTTACACCTAAATTCAAGCAAATAAATTTTGTTTTTTGAATCGCCTCAAAATAATAGAACAGATTCTGACACATTTAGCTGGACAGGGACAGTTTTATCGACACCTGGCCAAGAAACCATTTATATACTGAATTAATTCTGTTCTATGCTGACATTTTGCTAATATTTATAGGGGTTTTAGCTTCTCATATATTATTTTACTTTAATATTTTTCTTTTCTACGTAATGCATTATTAACACAATAATTGTCAAAGAATTTCATTTGGTTCCATAAGTACAACCGAGTATAGGCCTATTTCCAAGCTTTTATTCCTCATATGTATTCACAATTTTATATAAATTTTAAATACCAGTTAATCAAAGTATTTTTTTTTCGTTTTAAACAATGCCATCGTTATATGAAGTGCAGTATGTAAATTTGGCGACACACATTATATTTAGTTTACATGTAGTTATGCATACCAGTATTGATGCAAGATTGATTTTTTATGATGATATCATCAACACCGATGTCACCGTCAATTCCATCACCCCTCTCTGATCTAAACACAACCTGTAACCAGAATTATAATACTGTACTGTTGTCAATTTTAGACTTTAAAATATGATAAATTGAAAAGCAAACTTATCCGGAATTGTGACTCCTATTTTACAAATTACAAGACTTTACAGGAATAGTGGACATAGGGACTACAGTAATATAGCATCTTCTTTTATTACAAAGAAGAACGGGTAGGCCTAATAATAACTTATTTTCAATTGTTTTAAATATGCCCACATTATCGTAAATCATACAATAAACGCCGGGAAGCTGCTTACGGCAGCGCTTATTCGGGAGCGGCACTGTTGGAGAGAGGTGCTTGCAACTTAGTGATAGACCTACTATAATTCTACAAAGGTCCATTTAACTTGTTGCACCGTTAGTATTATTCAATCTGTTAGAATTTGGTTATTTAACAGTGTCACGATGATAAAAAAAAACACCACAAACAGAATAATGCTTTCGAGAGTGGAAATTCGGTGAAGAAATGGGTTTTATGCCTATAAAAATCAATTCGAGGATTTAGGCAGACACGTTTATTAGATTATTTACTGTAGTTTCCTTACAAACCTAAGCGAAATTCCACTTACTTGGAAGTTGCTTCTCCCTTTGATCTCTACTTCTGCCGCCCTCCATATATTCCCTCTGTTTCCCAATCTGCTCCACACCAGCTTACCCGGTAGAGACTCCTCCAATGATAACACGTAAACCTGCAGACTTTGTATGTGAATTCCATACATGTGGTACCAGAATATTAGGCACTTGGTTTCGTCTTCTCCAATGTTGTGGATCAATGGCGTTAGCATTATTGCTGTATCATTAGCACTGTTTCGTTTATGTGCATCGATAAATGCATAATGCCCTGTTTGTTATGATAACAATATTATTACTAATAATATAAATGATAATGAAAATAACATAGCAATAATAAGAATGGTTATATTTGCTATAATAATATTAATATTAATTATATATCTATATATATAATATATACAT